TTGCCCCTCCTCCTCCTCGCGTCGTTTTCCTCGTTACTGAGGTCGTGACTCCCCCGCCGCATCAGTTTCTTCCGTACGATTTCCCTCCATCTGCTGCGATCCTTAGCTTCATGAAGGGCATTGTGGAAGTTGATGTTCAGAGAAGATCGTATTTGGTCCGACCCTCTCGTGGGACTGCGTTCTCTGGGATGTTTGCCATCTACCTTTCCTGTCACCATCAGCTGATCTAGATTGTGACCCTCTTTACGAGCAATATGTCCGAAGAATTCCAGCACCCTACGAAGGCATATAGTGGAAAGTCTAGTTTTGATATTAAATGGTTTTGCCACTACCTCCCGTTTACAAGTCCGCTCCCAATTTTACAATTTAGGGACCACCATAGAATGGCAAGAAGGGATGACATTCAGCCATTACTGATGGAACAAAGGTAAGGGAATAATTTGAAAAGTCATATTTCGTCTGCCATAAATCTGTTCCTCTTCTTCGAAGTTTTTTTTTTTGGTTAGAGATTAAACATTGAGAGAAGAGGGTATGGGTAATGACCACAAAATGTAAATATAAAACTAGGAACTTTTCCGCGCCGCCTACAGGTTCCAATTGTAAATCTAAACAATTCAGAACAGAATACACAATAAAAACAACGGCGTGACGAACACTCATACAAAAATTGGGAGTTATATTTAAACAATTAATTGAATATAAGACCTAAATATTAATACGTGAAGCAAAAACTTTGTACCCCTTTTTACGAAAATTGCGCGGACGGAGGATTATCAAATTTCCCACACTTATAGCACTCGCATGCATACTATTTGTCTATTGTCAAACTTTTCTTTTGCTTATAGAAGTTAAGTGTACAAACTTATAATTTCAATTCATTATAGTCGAATTTCGACTATCAGGGGACCACTAGTAAGACCTGAATCTCTCTCTCTCTCTCTTCGATCGGTCCATCACTGCTGAGGATCGTACTCCGTCCGATTACGTCAACCAGCTGTCTCCATTGATCCCGTTTTGTAGCTTGGTGGAGTGCGTCGCTGACAGGTATCCCCAGTTCCTCCGTTATTTGGTCCGACCATCGTTTGGGACCTACCCCTAGGCCTTTTCCCTCTATTTTACCGGTCATCACAAGGCGCTCCAAATTGCTGGTATCCCTGCGTGACCTGAATATGTGATGTCTAGGTGGAGATAGATTGACGCGCAATGACAAGAATTTCCCGGCGCTGGACGGAGCGGGCCCCTCCCGCGCCGCGCCGCGCCCCGCCGCGCCCGCCACCGTCGCCGCCACCATCGTCAGGAATTGTAAACAACATTATTTACTATTTATCACTATGATTTAAAAGTATAATTGGCACGTCAATTAAAATTATAAGACACTAACACCAGATGCCGATATGCCGATGATTTTATTGTAAAAAAGCGTGGGGTGCTTTTCAGGATATTATCAAAATAACCCTTCTGCTCATATCTGTTCATAAAATATTTATAACTACTGCTACCATGCACCCCACGCTTTTTTTACAATAAAATCGTTATTTTTAATTCAAATTTATTAAAATTTATTTTTCTATTTATAGTTGTATTTCTAGAAACGTATTTTTTTAGATTTTCTAAACTATTATTTATTAAATTGCTCTTTTTCAGCTAAGCCTAGCGTTTCGATTCAACTACACAGCCAACCCGCAAGCGCTAGTAATTTTAGGTTGACCCAGACTAGCGGAAACCGCATCTCAATACCACCACAGCAGAAGAAGCCAACTCTCGACGATGACGATTTCCCTTCCCTCAGTATGGGGAGAGACGACCATCCCAACATCGGAGCTAGTAGTGTGCAACCTCCGAAGGTAAAAAACATATCATTCGCTTCACTTCTGTGAAGAAATTACAGTTTAAATATTGTTGACTGCAAATTGAAAATGTATTATTCCAGGTCACCATGATCAATAGTCAAGAAATGCAAGCGTTAAAAAATAACCAAACCCAGTCGCAACCAAAGAAGACCCAGCGGAGTACGGAGGCGTTCCCTGCGCTGTCCGCCACCGCCCACTCCCCCGCNATAAAACATATCATTCGCTTCACTTCTGTGAAGAAATTACAGTTTAAATATTGTTGACTGCAAATTGAAAATGTATTATTCCAGGTCACCATGATCAATAGTCAAGAAATGCAAGCGTTAAAAAATAACCAAACCCAGTCGCAACCAAAGAAGACCCAGCGGAGTACGGAGGCGTTCCCTGCGCTGTCCGCCACCGCCCACTCCCCCGCCGCACCCCCGCAGTGGATCACCGTTTCCAAAGGAAAGGACAAGCCACGCGCCCGCGCCGAACCCGCGCCCCCGCCCCGGGAACAACCCGCCTTCAACCAGGTCGCAGACTTCCCCACTCTACCGCTCAACAAATCGAAATCGAAACCTAAGAACGTCATCGTTATTCCTCAAGCGACCCCCCGCCCTCAACCGCAGCATCAACAGCAGCCGGCGGAAGCTAAACTGACCAAAAAGGAGAAAAAGAAGCAAAACATCAAAAAAGAAAATATTGCTGAGATACCACTCGTGAACGGCCTCGATAAGAAGTACGCGAAAGATCCTTCTTTTACCGAGGTGAACTCGAACGTCGAACGCAACGTGGAACGTGATAAAAAAATCAAAACAATCGAGACCACTTCGAGTGTCACCGTCAATTCGGATAGGAATACCGGAAATGGAGATTTTGCCCTAGCTCCCACAGAGTATCCTCCTCTAAATCCCAAAGGCAAAAAGGAAACCAAAGACTATCCTCCGCTGCAAACACGGGCCGAAAACGTTGCATTCAATAGAAGGGTGACGAATGGCAGCGTCCCTCCCGGGTTCAAACCGCGTCCGGCGTGCGACGGCATGACGTTCACTAACTCAGCGGGACAGACCTTCTCGGCGCCCGTTCACAAATATATTCCGCCCCCGGAATTCGAATCCCGTAATCGTGTTTTAGTAAAAAAATTCGCTGTCGCACTGGGCGGGGCGGAGGCCGTGGAAAGCTTCAAAGTGGCATCGCGGGCATTCCGCGATAGTATCATCAGCGCCGATGAGTTTTATGAACACTGTCGGTCCGCTCTCGGGTCCCAGCTCGAGTCCGTGTTCCCGGAGCTCGTGGCTCTGCTACCGGACATCGGCAAGCAACAGGAGTTAGTGGTCGGTAAAAATGTGAGTGAACTTGAAGTGTGTGCGACGTGTGGCCAGCTGCTGTCGCCCGGGGACCGCATCGCGCACGACACGGCGCACTGGCCGCCCCTCGCGCCGCGCTAAATGTGTTTCTACTAATTGTGATACTGACTCTAATTAGTTTCCAGTCTCAAATCCAAATAGTGCTGTGCTTAATAATATAAATAGACAATTACAATTGAACAATAAATATCAGCTAGTATAATTTTCTTGTATTGCTTGAATAAGTATGTTGACAATTTTATAAATAACACTGCATTTTTTTTAATTATGACTTTCATGTAGATGACGTAGAATATTGTTGAACAATTAAAGATTGAATAAATAAGATTTCTGGACTGATGTGTAAATGTAACACAAAGCCATGAAAGATACCAAATTATAATACAAATAAAATTGTCACTGCAAATTGTACCTTTGTGCAAGTCTTCAAACTGAGTGTCAAATGAATAATTTATCAAGTTTTTAAAGTATAAAGTGTTGCGGTAGATACGGGACTGGCACTCAATGTACATGACAAAATATTCTTGCCGAAACTATTCGAATAAAAAATAAATCAAACGACTGAATGATCACTGAAAAAATTATGTAAATAAAAATTCCCTTTAAAGGTGAATCTTGTAAATTGAAATTTAGTCGTTCGTATTTTCTCAATAGCGGTGTATATTAATATATTATGTTAAATAATTTTGTACTAGGATTACATATAGACATGGCTATTTTGACATCCATTTTAATTGGAATAGCAGTATCGCAATTGTATGTAACTAAATATGTGATTTTATTGTCAATGTTACACAGTGTACTAATATTGTTTCAAATCTAATATTATATTTTTATACTTTCACAGAACAATTTAATTTATGTAAAATATGTTTTTGTTGAACACAAAACTTTTGTTTTATTAATCTCATGCATGTAAATAAAGTTCATGGCAACGGAAAACAATACAAGTTTATCAGTTTGTTTATTATCTCCGAAAGAAATCGAATAGTATACCAACTTAATAGAAAAATAATTGTTCCAGACTTTAATAACTTAAGAGTAATTCGAAGCAATAATTGAAGGTGTTTGTAACGAACTGGTTTAAATATCTTTATTATGACACGAACCAGAGATACCAAGTATAATAAATTATTGTATTAAATAATTTCTGGTTTCTGTTGGTGACAATAAAATGAGTATGAAAAATGAAATTACAAAAATGTTTAATGACATGAGTGAAGTAAAAAATATTTCCATTGTTTTTTTGGGAGTGGATATAGTTTTATCTATTAAAAAATAACTGAAGATCTTCCGTATAGATCAGGGGTTCCCAAACCTCTTTTGTCTACTGCCCACTTTGAGAATAAATTATTTTTAATCGTACCCATTTTGTCACATACCTAAAAAACACAATAGTGAGAGTTTAGTCGGTGTCTAATCCTCTTGGATGAATTTACAAATCGCCTCCCAAGCTTCTTCACAACGCTCCAATTTTTTTTCTGGGTCTTACCGCCCCCCTTTAGGCCTGCAGCGCCCACAAGGGGCGTTATCGCCCACTTTGGGAAAGGCTGGTATAAATGTTAAGTCATGTGATTGAAGTGGTGTATTTTGTGATACATATCACCTATTTGTCGCATTAGTATATCAAAAATACAATCTGCTAACGCATTTATCTGAATTTATCTTGACGGTGTTAAGATATATATTCCACACGGATCGAAGCTGCTACACAATTTTATTACACAGCTAGTTGCGCCCAGTAGGTTAACGGTTGAATTGTTCTTCTAATAGTTTAATAATAATAATAATTTAATTTAATATGAAAGCTCTTGTGGTATTTTTTTGGTGAGTATCTTATTATATTGGTGGTTTTTTTTATTATATTGACTAACTGATATAATTATTCATTCAAGTAATGTTCACAAAAATGCAACCGCCACTTGTATGTAGGTACGCTTCTAGTGATGTGCCTTTTTTATTGGCCTTATGGCAGTCGCATACGGCCCACTTGATGATGAGTGGCTACCGTCGCCCATGCAAGTCAGTAATGCTAGGGGCAGAGCCAAGCCGTTGCTTACCGTTAAGTACTCAAAAGTGCCTAACTTGTTACCGGCTGTAGGGGGACTTGAGACCGCACGGCTAATCACTAAGGTTCTGTCGATTTCTGTTCCGCATCCGTTAATTGTGGGAATCATTGCGTTAAAGGGCTAAATTCCGGCATCTTAATTTTAGGTAGGCTGATAGCTCGTCTGTTTATGTATTACAAAAATTATATAATACCTATACATCACACTAAATATAGCCAAATTGTAATATATTGAACTAAGTGTACTTTCTTTTAGTCTCAGTTTAGCAATGAGATACAGCACTTGCGTACCTAAGCAAAGGAGAACCTTTCCTGAAGACTTTATATTCGGCGTTTCAACAGCGTCTTATCAAATTGAAGGTGCCTGGAATTTAGACGGTAACTGCTTTCCACATTTTTTTATATCTAAAATTCTTGAGAGTTTCTTCGAAGCCCGCGAAGTCGCGTTCCAAGTGTAAAAAGAAGCAGTAATATGATGTACATTCGTAGCCAAATATAATTCGGTTTTATGTATGTAAATAATATATATTGTGACCGACACGGTGGTGCGGGAGTTAGCATCCCTAACTGTTGCGCCGAGTATCGTGGGTTTGATTCCCACATCGGGCAAACATTCGTGTCATGAACAGGTTTGTTTGCTCTTGGTCTGTGTGTTCATTATCAATAAAAGGTATTTATTTCAGCATATATAAGTATGTATCTCAGTTTCTGGTTGTCATAATACATGGAATCTAATTTGGGACCGATGACCGTGTGTGACATGTTCCCGGTTATTATTATTATTATTATTTAAACTACAGGAAAAGGAGAAAACATTTGGGATTATCTCACCCACAATCATGTTGAAGCAATAGCAGATCTTAGTAATGGTGATATTGCTGCCGACTCATACCATAATTATTTAAGAGACGTGGAAATGTTGAGAGAATTGGGCGTTAATGCTTATCGTTTCTCGTTATCATGGTCGAGGATACTCCCAACCGGCTTTGCCAACTATATCAATAAAGCGGCAATCGATTACTACAATAATTTGATAAATGAACTTCTCAAATATAACATTAAACCGGTGGTCACTTTGTATCATTGGGACTTACCACAGAAACTTCAAGAATTAGGAGGTTTCGGAAATCCATTGATCGCGGATTGGTTCGAAGATTATGCCCGCGTAGCCTTCCAATATTTCGGCGACAGAGTAAAATTTTGGATTACTATTAATGAGCCGAAAGAGATATGCCTGGACGGATATGGAAGTACGGCTAAAGCCCCTATGTTAAATGCATCAGGGATCGGAGAGTACATTTGCGCTAAGAATCTGATCATAGCACACGCCAAAGCCTATCATGCGTACAGTAATGACTTTAAAGCCACGCAGGGAGGAGTATGTGGCATAACGTTTAGTGTCAGTTCTGCTCAACCACTTACGAGCTCTGAAGAAGATGCAATTGCACTTGAAATACACAACCAGGGTGAAGTATGTAACTTTCTTAATCAAAGTTATTTTTGATTATTGATGGTTTTATCAAATTTTATGTTTATTTTAGTGGGCTATATATTCCGATCCGATTTATTCAAAGGAAGGTGGTTTTCCCAAGGAGTTTTCTGAACGAATTGCATTAAAAAGCTTGCAGCAAGGGTACCCTAGATCTCGATTACCTGCGTACACCGAAGAAGAAAAAGACTTTGTTCGCGGTACAAGCGATTTCTTTGGTGTGAATCATTACAGCGGCTCTCTCGTGTCTGCAGTTACTTCTAACAATTTTGTAGTCCCGTCATTCAATGATGATGTAGGTGTCAGTTATTATACGCCCGAGGAATGGCCTCGATCAGTGTCTAGTTGGCTTACGGTAAGTACTAACATATCTTAAAAATAATATTGAAACGAATGAATTTTGTTTTCTTTCTTTATTTTACTTTTCATACAAACTTTCAACCCCTAACTCACCAACTTAGGTGTAAAATGTTGAAAAATTCCTATGTAGGTACTTAGTCTGGCCATAAATACTGTTATAATTAAAAATAAACAAAATATTACATTTGAGTTTGGAATCTGTCATTTTTATATGATTGCTCATTGAGTTTTCTCATTTTGGCGCCAATACTTTGTACAATATTTTGCGATATTAAAATGGAGTGGGATGATAAAGAGAACCGAATCGCTGTGAATGCATTACACAAAGTAGGTATGAAGCCAAATGCAATTTTTAAAACTCTCCATACGCTTGGTATTAGTAAAATGTTTGTGTACCGGGCTATTAATAGGTGCAATGAGACCTCCTCTGTTTGTGACAGAAAAAGATCTGGCCGTCCACGTAGTGTTCGTACGAAAAAGGTGGTCAAAGCAGTAAGGGAAAGAATTCGAAGAAATCCTGTCCGAAAGCAAAAGATTTTATCTCGGGAGATGAAGATAGCACCTAGAACCATGTCGCGTATTTTAAAAGATGACTTAGGACTTGCAGCCTATAAGAGACGTACTGGTTATTTCTTAACTGATAATTTAAAAGAGAATAGGGTGGTAAAATCGAAACAACTACTGAAGCGGTACGCAAAGGGAGGTCATAGAAAATTTTTGTTTACGGATGAGAAAATTTTTACAATTGAGCAACATTTTAACAAACAAAATGACCGTATTTATGCTCAAAGCTCTAAGGAAGCTTCCCAATTAGTCGACAGAGTGCAACGTGGGGACTATCCGACTTCAGTGATGGTTTGGTAGGGTATTAGCTATGAAGGAGTGACTGAGCCATACTTTTGTGAAAAAGGTATCAAAACATCGGCACAAGTGTATATATCAAGATACCATTCTTGAGAAGGTAGTGAAGCCCCTTAACAACACCATGTTCAATAATTAAGAATGGTCCTTCCAGCAAGACGGCGCCAGGTAATAAAGCTCGGTCTACGCAATCTTGGTTGGAAACGAACGTTTCGGACTTTATCAGAGCTGAAGTCCGGCCGTCGTCTAATTCCGATCTTAATCCGCTGGATTATGATTTATGGTCAGTTTTAGAGAGTACTTACGGCTTGCTCTAAACGCCATGATAATTTGGAGTCCCTAAAACAATCCGTACGATTGGCAGTGAAAATTTTTCCCATGGAAAGAGTGCGTGCTTCTATTGATAACTGGCCTCAACGTTTAAAGGACTGTATTGCAGCCAATGGAGACCACTTCGACCTAGCTTTTTATACTTTAAATTGTTTTATATTTATGTATTAAACTAACACACTAAAAGTAATAAATGTTATTTGCAATAGAATTTTTTTAATTTTTAATTGTAACAGTATTTATGGCCAGACTAAGTACCTAGATACCTACATTGATATCTAACAGGAGTAGATGTTTGAATGTTTGTGCTTCTTTCTTTCGGAATGGCTTGACCTTGGGAGTAAAATTTGGAATATACCCATAGAGTAAAATATACCTACATAAAGAACGGTTACAATAAAAATGTCAATTATATCTAATATTTTCAGCAAATGCCGAATAGCTTGAATATAACTCTTACGCGTTTGAGGGACAGATATGACAATCCTGAAATTTATATTACTGAGAACGGATGGTCGACGTATCAAGGATTAAATGACGACACTAGAGTCAATTATATGAGAGCCGCTTGGGAGAGTGCGTTGGATGCGCTTGATGCCGGAATTAATTTGAAGGGCTACATGGCCTGGAGCCTAATGGACAATTTTGAATGGAGGGAAGGATATAGGTACGAAAAATGTGCAAACCGTGACAATAACATAATATATAGTCTATATGCATTATATTAAACGTATGTCGACAAAAAAAACCTTTTCGGTGATAATTATAAACTGTCCAATTAAACCCTGGACATCAGTATTTTTTTATTATCAAAACCAGAAATATAACATTACCTATCTTCCACTCATATTCAAGACGATCTGGATATTCAAGACGAAGTACAAATCGGATCTGTTTTTTTTTATTTCTTAGATGGGTAGACGAGCTCACGGCCCACCTGATGTTAAGTGGTTACCGGAGCCCGTAGACATCTACAACGTAAATGCCGCCACCCGCCTTGAGATATGAGTTCTAAGGTCTCAGTATCGTTACAACAGCTGCCTCACCCTTCAAATCGAAACGCATTACTGCTTCACGACAGAAATAGGCAGGGTGGTGGTACCCACCCGTGCGGACTCACAAGTTGTACAATTATAATTTTGCGGGTTTCATTTTTATTACACAATGTTATTCCTTCACCGTGGAAGTCAATCGTGAACATTTGTTAAGTACGTATTTCATTAGAAAAATTGGTACCCGCCAGCGGGATTCGAACACAGGTGCATCGCTAGATACGAATGCACCCGACGTCTTATCCTTTAGGCCACGACGATTTGTATCTTGAAAGATATTCTACAAAAACGGCAATTACTTAACACTAACAAGTATGCCGTGGCACACACATTTTAAGTTAAATTAATTTGTCTTATTAAGATGTTACATTTTGATACATTCAACACCTGTTACTTATTTTAAATTAGCGCTTAATTGTTTTATCATTATAAAAATCTGTGGAATATCTGTACGCTATTTAAGGGCTTCGTCAAACAAAACGTGTACTTAGCGCTGCGTTTTAACGTCGCGCTCTTTTCATGTCACACAAATTGACTAGATGAGCCCAACGCTCTTTGACGCAACGTAACGCCAAATCATAGTGCCTTTCGATAGCAGTGTGAAAATTTGAAAGTATTAAAATGTCGAGTGATTCAGATGTAGCATTGTATAAACATGGGTATTTCCTAACTAATTTTATCAATTTTTTGGGCATTATCCAGTATTTTATACACATTCACTCGGACGCTAAAATAAAATTTGTAAAAAATTACAACGCCTGACGTCAAAGCGTCCTAACGATGCGACAGAGCGTTGCGTACTTATAGCGCTGGGGCTCTGTTTGACGGTATGTTACCATAGTACATAGAGTAAGATTATATATAACCTCCATAGTAGTACAACACATCTCGGCGTCATGGCGCGCTGTCAGTTTAGCGCTCTGACGCGCGCTAATTACGCGTTCTGTTTGACGAAGCCTTAAATGTGCTAAAATAAAATACCGTTTTTCTGTACAAATCGTTTCGGTAGTTTCAACATCGGTTATTAATATGTACAATGAATGTTTCAGTGAAAGGTTCGGTTTATATGAAGTGGATTTCGAAGATCCGGCCCGCACTCGTACTCCAAGAAAATCCGCTTTTGTCTACAAACAACTGATTAGTACAAGAGAAGTTGATCACGACTATGATCCTGACTCTCAGTCTGTTATGACCATCAACGACTCGTGAAATCAAAAATTAATTTGTAATTATTTGTTTAATACGTACGTACGGTTTAAAATAAATAAATAAAAACTAACAAAATACGCTTTTATAGAAAATCCAACTAAAAAATAGAAAATAAATTTTAATAAATTTGAATTAAAAATAGTGTAAGGAAAAAAATTGTTGGATTTTCTATAAAAGCGTATTTTGTTAATTTTTTAAAACTACATATTATTTATTTTTCATTGAAATTCATTTTTTTTTAATTTTTTTTTTAAATATTGTATTGTCATCGGTCCTTAATAAGTATACCAAATTTCGAGTTAATCCGACGTTTTGAAGGGGGTCAAAATCATGTTCAAAGATTCAGTAACAACATACATACGTCTGAAGCTAATAAAAGCGTATTAAAAATAAAAACAAATATTAATATTGGATTCCATTTATATTGAAGTAGATATGAAAATGTATATAATCTATTGAATCTCTATTTATCGCTTTTTCCCCAACCCAAAAATCCTTTAACGAGTCCAGTGAGTCCTGCACCTTGCTTCTTGCCATCTGTAGCGCCCGTTTTATCATCCAAATTCGGGAACTCAACGAAATTGCAGGCCAAATCAAAGAACAGTGGCTTACAAGGAATCGCTTCCATTGGGGGAGGCATTCTATAAATATTTGGGTTCTTCGTAAGCACCTGGGAATCTTCTCGATAATCGTCCAAACGCTCCACCAGAGGCTTCTTGTCTTTGTAAGATTTGCCGCTCGAAGCGTATTTACTCTCTTCGTCTTCTTCATCATCCTCGAGCACAGAATCAGCGTGGACTTCGAATTTGCAGCTTTCTATGTCCTTCTTCAAGACTTGCAACTTGTCTTTTAGTTGTTGATTGTCCAGTTTACTTATGAGCGATTCAACGGTATACGTGTTGCATCTTTCAAGCATCGCCAAGGCCTCCCTGAAGCGCCTCAGTCCGGTGAGCACTTGAGCGATGTAATAGCAACGGAACGCGCGATACGCCTTCATCTGCGTATCGATTTCCTTTTGATAAACTGCGTCGTTCTCAAAGCCCGGCAACTGTTGCAGGTCATTGTAATTCTGCAGAATGATCTCGTAGAGCCTGGTCAAGTCTTGAGGCCGGACTTTCTTTCCGTCGATCTGGATGTTGTTCTTGCGCGCTTCTTCAGCTTGTTCGACGAGCAAATTGTTTCGCTCGATAGTGCGTACAAGTCGCACGTACATCAAATACGAGAGCAGGTAGCCGACGCTGGAGGCTTGGATCTCGGGTGCGGATTTCAGTTTCGGATCGGTTTTTATCTCGTCCTTGATTGCGGAAATTGCATCCTTGCAGTCCATCAGGATGTTCTCGAGAATGTCGATCTTGGCTTGAGCCGTTTCCGCCTTGGACACGGATTTGTCCAGATCCTGTAGAGCAATAAGGAAAAGTCGAACCTTTTCCGGTTTGACAGTGACGCGACGGCCCCGCCACTCTACTTCGTGCATAATGCCAGAACGCGACTCTCTACAACAACAAAAAAAAGTTGAATATTAGTTTCACTATATCGAAGTATTTATGAATGCGTAAGGAAATCTACTAACTTAGCCTGTGCCATCAGAGCATCAAGGTTGTGCATGAGTCCTTGACCGCGCATGGCCATAAGGTCTCCGGCGGCGGACTCGTCACCGATGTTGTAAGCGCAATAACGAAGACTCGGCTTCAACTCCTCTAGCTAAAACAAAACATTAAAGTCTAATATGGTGGGTGGCGAATTTACGTTGTAGATGTCTATCGGCTCCAGTAACCACTTAACACCAGGTGGGCTGTGAGCTCGTCCACCCATCTAAGCAATAAAAAAAAACTAAAATGATTTTTTTTTTCTTATCGAACTACAATACGTTCGCATATTATCTGATTTAGTGAGGAGATGCAAACTTTTGACTGCCACAACGTCACTGTTTACCTCGTTAGAACTGCATTCAAAACTTATTCGAAGAATGTGCTAGAAAAAGATACAAGGAAATTCATTTCTGATTTTGAGGAGGCTTTGTAGTGAATTACTCTCCAAGGTGGTTTGTACACTAATAACATGCCCGTCAAATTAGATTTGAAAAAAATTCTGAGAGGCATAAAAACTACTGAATGGATTTACTTATTCAGCACAATAATAATTATAGTTTTATAGACAATTTTTAACTTTTGATTTTTATTGCTTAGATAAGTGGACGAGTTCACAGCCCACCTGGTGTTAAATGGTTACTGGAGCCCATATATATATAATATATAACGTAAATGTCGTTACCCACCTTGAGATATAAATTCTAAGGTCTCAGTATCGTTACAATGGCTGCCCCACCCTTCAAGCCGAAACGCATTACTGCTTCACGGCAGAAAAAGGCAGAGTGGTGGTATCTACCCGCGCGGACTCACAAGAGGTCCTACCACCAGTAATAACTGTAACTCAACGTTAATTATTTGTTTTATCAGGAGACAATTTCTCAGAGCTCTGTGCGACTAGTCCACCAACTAAAAGTTACTCAGCGAGCTATGCTTGGTTTGTCATTGCAAGACCGAATACGCAGAGGTCATTCGGGCAAAAACCAAAGTGATCGATATAGCTCGCAGTGTTAGTAAGCTGAAGTGGCAGTGGGCTGGTCACATATGTCGCAGAAAAGATAACCGTTGGGGTAGACGTGTTCTGGAGTGGAGACCGCGAACCGTCAAACGTAGTGTAGGACGCCCTCCTGCTAGATGGAGCGACGACCTGCGCAAGGCAGCTGGCAGTAACTGGATGCGTAGAACCGAAGATCGGGTTCAGTGGCGAGCTTTGGGGGAGGCCTATGTCCAGCAGTGGAGTGCCGCAGGCTGATGATGATGATGATGAATTTCTCCGAGAAATCTATAAGGCTAAATTCAAAACATATTTGTTTAGTTAATAAATACCTTCTGATCGTAAACAATCCGTTCGTCCGCCGGCAAGGCTGTACAGAGTTGTTCGAGTACGATCCTGGCCCGCTGCAATGAGTCCGCTGCCTCGCGCCATTGTTGCAACTCTAGCAGCAACACGCCCCGCAGCCAAGAAGCGTACGCGCCCGCCTCTAGCACCGTACGCGCTTCGCACCTGCCGCTTTCCTGTTTTTAGTATTATTAGATTATTAGTATCCGTCATATGTAAATTAACAATATATATATCGACGCTTGAAAGGCAAACATGACTAAGCGACAATGCGTGAACTTTACAGTAGATTAATTTAAAGTTGAAATACCTACCTGAAAAAAATTATATTAACGAATCTAGCTGTAGGAAAGCTGAAATTATTTTAATAGAACTTGAAATATATATTTTTTTGCGCTTCGAATACGGTTATTGCCTATAATTTATGTACAAAGCAGTTATTGTCGCTTAGTCGCGTTTGCCTTTCAAAGGTCGATATATAAAAATGAATTGCTGTTCTTTAGTCTCGTTAAAACTCGAGAACGGCTGAAGCGATTTGGATAATTTTGGTCTTGAATTATTTGTGGAAGTCCAGAGAAGGTTTAAAAAGTAGATAAATATGAAAATGCTCGGAATTAAATAAAAATGACAATTTTGTTTTCCCTTTGATGTGTCTCCTGTCGAACGGATTACTTTTGTTTGTTTTAAGTTTATTTTATACAAAAGTTTAGGTCTTTTATTTATCGATTGAGATACAACGAAGTCTGCCGGGTCAGCTAGATAACAATATAAAGTTCTTTGACACATTGCCTGCCATAGATAATACACATAGTTATAGATAAGCAACTCAAGCACTCAACAAAGATGTTTACGGGCGTCAGCCACTAGATGGCATCGCTTCGATTAGTTTCTCATTGTTCCTGTAGATGGCAGTAACATATTACCAATCCTATATTTCATTATTAATGAAGGATTTCGTAAATTTTCAGAAACCATAAATTGATAAAATTTAATCATCTTAGATAACACTTAAAGACTTCTATAATATGATGTATATTTTTTTTATTTTCTGTGTTTTAGTTACACAAAAATAAAATGCCTTAACTTTAACCACATATAAGTTTAGGGGCATCCGCTACAAGATGTCGCTAGTTCCCATACAAAAAATATATTTGTCTTATAGTATCGCAGTTTCAGGGCCCTGATGTAGGTCACCGGTGCCCTACGTGGCGCATTATTTATTTATTTAATTTATTTATGGTTAGCACAGAAGTAGAAACTCAATCACAATTTTCATATGTGCTTAAACTAGGTGATAAAACTGGTATCTCAAGCAGAATTGCTCCTCGTGCAAAGAATACAACAGCTTTACTTCAGATACTTACACAAAATACAAAATTACTAGATAAAAATTAAATTGAAGTAATTACATATATTGATTTCTGTTAATAAGCTCCTGAATTGACTAACTTTGCCTTCTTTTGTTTGTTAATGTATGTTTTAGTCTTTTAAGTGTCTTAGAAATAGATTATTTCTCAGTATCATCTGATTCATCTTCCCCAGAGTCTACCAGATATTCCCGCGTCTTAGTAAGAAGATCTAAGAGGGAAATTGACATAATCACTTCAGTGCGCCACGTAGGACAACGGTGACCTACATAGGAGTCAACATGTTAAAGTTAAATTTTGCCAACGTTTTAGGCACATCGCTTTAGCTTGAATGTTTTTAATTTGTAGCTTGTTATTATTTACCTCACAAAGCTGCAAAAGCATCTGCCCATGTGCACATGCTTTCTTTAGTCGAGACACAAGATGAAACTTTTTTCTTGGTTCAGTATTAGCTTCCTGACGCAGTTGCATGGCATGAGCCCATGCCCTCTCGGCTTGCAGCAGCGGTATGTACAGCAATCTATTCTCGGCGTTGTTCGACGTAAGGTGGGTAGTTGTGACATCACGACGACGGTAATGGCGTCTGTCTCCCTGCATTAAAAGTTTTTGAAGTGAAACTTCTTTAGAATCGTTGATTTCAAACTCGATGAAACGAAAAAATAAGTCCATAGAAACACAAACACATAAATGTATAGGATTCAGTTCTCAGTATAGCGTGTTTTTACTACAGCGACATCTAGATTTTTTAATACTAGCGTTTTTTTAAATGAAAAGGTTGACAAAGCATCAAATAACCAGTAACATTTTTTTCCAAACTGTAAGTATGCCAGAGTTGTCTTCAAGAATTCATAACCGTTTGCAAGAAAATCTAAAAATTATTGCTATTATGCTAACATGCCCATTGTATTGGGTGATTTGCATTGTTATTTTTATATTGTTATACAATACTCGATCAATCAACAATTAGAGTCGAGTTCTATAAGTTTTTTTTTGTTGCTGAGATGGGTGGAAAATCTGACGGCCCACCTCGTGTTATGTGGTCACCAGAGCCCATAGACATTAAGAAACTTAATTTCTGTCGTGAAGCAGTAGTGCGTTTCGGTTTGAAGGGTGGTGCAGCCGTTGTAACTATACTGAGACCTTAGAACTCATATCTCAAGGTGGGTGGCGGCATTAACGTTGTAGATGTCTATCGGCTCCAGTAACCACTTAACACCAGGTGGACTGTGAGCTCGTCCATCCATCCATCTAATGAAAAATAATAAAATAAAATAAAACATGCTTTAGCTACATATTTTACTAGAAAAAAAAAGAAAAAGAAAATTCAAAAGGTAGCTCTGAGATACGAGCACCAGCACCAGCACATTGCTCAATATATGTAATGGGCACTACCAAAAAAATCAAAACTTTTACATAATAGTCTATTTTCTCTTATTTATTACCTGTGGTATTTTGAGTACTTTACGCAGTCTTCTTATGCGGCGCGAACAATAGCCACGATATCTCTGATAATCAGCATGACGAAGACCATGCTGTTGCTGACTGTCTCTTGTTATCCGAAATACTGATTAAGAGTCAAGTTAATTTTTGTACTTAGTTATAACTTTTCATTTTATAGCAAAACAACATGAAGTAAGCGAGTGACAGTTTGATTATAATAAAAGATTTAACAAAAATACCTTGGACCAAATGCATGAGCAGGCATTTTATAGTTAATAATGTTTAATATTATCTGACAATGAGGTTTTTAATGATCATACTGTATCTATTTAATATTACTTATTAAGCTTTTACCACATGAAAACTTTTAAAGCCATTAAAACCTTGCACACAATATGCTGTCAATTTAAGAAACACTTTCTAAGGCCCTCTGTGACATATCCCTACAATTGTTTTAAATATTTATTCAATTTAAAGCTCATTAAACCTCAGCTCCAATTTTTTAGAAGCTGTTACTGAGTGAAGGCCTACAGAAAGTATACAATTTTCACTGATGGCTCCAAGCTGGAAAAATTACTAAACCCAATTCGATCAAAACGAATGTAGTAAACACATCAATATTACGGTTGATCTACTTATATACAATATGGTTCTAATTGTGGAGCAAGGGTTGTGATATTCTTTTAGTTAAAATGTTTTTGTAATAAAGCTTATGTCAAACTTTACTTTATTTTGTATTTGCTTGGTTGCACTTAATTAATTGCGATTATAGATACATAAATTCTGCGAGTATAAGTTATTATTGATAAAGGATACTTTCTAAGTTGAGGAGGATGGGTGCCTTCTCATTTTTCTTATCAGAATTTTCTACCGCTGTCACCTTTCCATTTTCAATTTCACTCTCTTGACCTACCATATTAATATGAACAACCAGTGTTTAAGTTATGTACTTAAAACAATTTTTTTTAATCATTGATTAGGTTGGACACACGACACGAATTATTTTTCTAAAATTTGACGTGATTGACATGAATGACGTGACTACTGTTGGTGAGTAGTGATGTGTATTTCGATTACCGATCCATCGGGTTTAAAAATATAGATAATTTTGTTAACCATTGCTGGCTTATTTTGGTGTGCTGAGAAGCTGCCTTCTACATAAACACAAAATCATAATGCTTTCAAATTTGAATTTTAAATCCTTTAAATCAATTTTGTTCATTGCTGCAAGTTACTACTTTATTTTTCCTGAAATATAGGCGTAACTTTACGTTTTTAGATTTTGATGGATTTAAATTTCTAGACGATTTTGATTGATTTTTCTTGTCTACCTACTGTTTGTAAGCTCAAGGGGTTATACTAGCTTCACCGAACGTGGAGGTAAGCTCACGGCACTCACCCCGGGACACTGTTAACATCTGCCTTAGCAAGAGCAGTGCTTCGATTCTAGCACCGGGTCGAAATCGCAACCCACTGAGAATATTCGGCAAGACACTCAGTGGGCAGTTGTACGGTGAAGCTTTCGTCGCATTAAACGGGCTCGACGAGAAGGGTGACCTTCCAATTTCTAAAAGTACCTAGCGTAGATCGAGTTGTGACCATTTACATTATTAAGCTTAACATTGAAAAATTAGCAATTGCCATTCGCTGCGTGGCGCTGGCGTTTCATCGCAACCAAATAATCATAATAGTGACTGGCTTTTGTGTGAGCCGGAGTTCGGAAGTAGGCAGCCTTAACGATTTCCATAACGCATCGGTTGATTGAGGATATGCCGAAAAATAATTATGGAAGCTTAACAGTCATTTAAAAAACACTGGTATCAGTAAATGAATATTGCTTAATGATAATCTAAAGTTATGACGTATATTGTTTTGTACATTGGCTTCGATTACATTATAATAATAATATGGCTTGAGCTGCACATTACCTGAAGTGGGAGGTCCCCTAAATGAGTGCGGTAGAATGGCCTCGAGCAGGGAGAGATGGTGGGACATCGTGAGCCGCATGAAGTCTGCCCCTTCCAACACTACATGAACTACACTACAGTCAGAAAATTTGCTAACACTAGCTAAATTGAGAGATGGTGCGACATCGTGAGACGCATCAAGTCTGCCCCTTCTAACACTACATGACGATCACGACCACTCTGTCAAGAGTGACACGACTGAGAAGAAGAAGAAGGTTATATGCTACGACACTTTTGCCTTTTCAGTTTGAAAAATAAAACTACTAAAATAATAATTGACATCTGAAATCTGTCACTGTCAGGTCTTCTGTTCTATCCTCTGATTCAAAGTGGTTCGTGTTTTTTTAAGCATGTTAAAAATTCGTTAAATATCAATAAAATCATTTAGCAAAATAAATATTTTAAAATAGAGTGAGCTATACGTTGTGTAGGTATTTACAGTAACGACTTTATTTTCCTTTACAGGATTGAAAACTCATCAAAATGGCAAAGTCAAAGAATCATACAAATCATAACCAAAGTAAGTAAACAAAACTAAAAAACCATCCGAGTCTGACACTCGCATGATTGATAATTTGTAACTTATTTTCTTAAATGCAAATGTTAGTTTCATACAAACGTACTACATCTATAAACTGCTAAAACAAACGTATTTTTCGACAGACCGCAAAGCTCACAGAAATGGTATCAAAAAGCCAAGGAAGACCAGGCACGAATCCACCCTTGGCGTAAGTGGTATTATAAACTAAAACCTAATATTTTAGATAATTAATTTAACACACTTCGAAATTAGCTTAGAAATTTGATCTTTATAAATAAGCGCCTTACTTTTGTAATCTTGTGTGCAGAAATGAAATAATTTGAATACTTCATAATAGCATTAACGTTAGCGGTAACTAGTAGCTAAAAAGTAAATAACTTTGCGCTTAACATGGTGTACCTTATTTATCTAGTATCGGTATATATTTCCAAATACTTTAATATGTTATACAGACACAAACAAAACTATCACATCCTTAAAAATGTTTGAGGAAGTGGAAAGGTGGATGAAGGAAATAAGGATACGAATGTTTTGAAAATCAAAATTTTGTTTGCATGTAGAAGAAATGAAGATGAATACACTTATAAATTAATAATTATATAAGCTCTGATTGTCAGTGACCAATATTTGTAGTTTTGATTTGTAAGTTCATAGCCCACCTGCTTCTGTGTGCTTCTAAGTATCAGAATGTGAATGTTGTATTATGGAACTGAGACTCCCTGTAACTATACTTGTCGAACTCATTGAAGAGTTTGATGTGTAACCTAACCTAAACATCAGCCCATTGAGGTTCTCACTGGATCTTCTCAGTAGATCGCGATTGCAACCTGATTGTAGATTCATTAGCGAACCAGCTACTCTTGAGTTGTTAGGTTTCCATTGGAGGCGTTAGGTAGCAAATCCCACCCCTCTTGGCTGAGCCCTTGCACGCCCACCTGTCCTTGTGAAGGATTGGAAAGGCCTTTGGGCCAACAGGAATCCCACAATCATGAAAAAAAAAAGACTGAGGCTAACGATCATGTCTCAAGATGGATGGAGGAGTTGTTGATGTTTCTGCTAACCACATAACTCCAGATAAGCCATGAGTTTATTCACCAATTGAGGAAATAAATAAAATTAAAAAACCTATCCATCATAATATTATTTAAAAAAAAAACAATTTTTTTTTTGTAATTTCAGATGGATCCAAAATTTTTAAGGAATCAAAGGTTTTGCAAGAAGGGTAACCTGAAGCCAGCCAAGCAACTCGCGAGGGCGGCTGAGAGAAAAGCTACCCGAGAAGCAAAGGCCAAGAAATGAACATTAGTTGTAAGCAAATAAACGCATAAAAACTATTGATTTTTTTTACTTTGCCTAAATTGTTGTCACTGAAACAATACTGCTGGCTCTTGGATTCTACTTCCTATTAAAGTAATCCTATATATGGTTCTGCACTAAGCTTGCCAGAAAGGCAACTAAGTCATTATTTCTGTAGTCTTAAGTTCTTTTAAAAAGAAAGGAATATGTACATTACATATATTTTTTATTTTTATTCTTGTTCCATCAGTTTATACATATTATATACCTAAAAATGCACGAATATGTCTCTGAAATGTGTCCTGTCTTAAACCACTTCTTGCTGAGGGCTGTCTTTGATAAATATTTACTACCTACAATACAAGTTTGCTGAATCAAATTCCAAACAATGGAATGGAAAATGGAATTATTAGGATTGCCTCTATTATGTTTTTTTTTTATTTGTATGTGAGTGGATGAGTTCACCGTCCATCTGGTATAAGTGGTTACCTACCATGAGTTCTTAGGTTTCAGTTTTTACAGTGCAATTTGAATGCAATTTTTTGTATGGAAGGGAACGAGTGGTTACTTGTCAACTCAACAAAGACAACACGTGACGACCTGCCCATTCTTTGTAAAATATAACAGCAGTGCAGAGCAGCACTGGTGATACTCACGCAGCATTCAAGCTCAGCCTCTACTCACCGCATACTTCGAGCAGCACTGGCACTTGCAAGCTAATCTCAGCACGGACAACGTTAATTAAATGACACGACCTCCAGTTGCCCACTAAGGTTTCTCGCCGGATCTTCTCAGTGGGTCGCGTTTCCGATCCAGTGTTAGATTCTGCGAAGCACTGCTCTTGCTAGGGCCAGTGTTAGCAACACTCCCGGCTTGAGCCCCGTGGGCTCACCTACAACATCAAGGAGAAGCTGAAATAGTCTCTCAAAGCTATCAGCATGGGTAGGAAAAAAAAGACCTCCAGTCTCGGAGGAAATGATGTGGCGGTAGCCATCATACAACGCAAGATATTTGACAGATGCCTAAATTTCACTTACGACATTTTCAAGATAAGCTTGCATATAATATACAAGTTCCGAACAACAACATTACCTCCATGACGACCTGGACCATCAGTAAGTATCTTCAGTCGGCGTCGATGCGCCACTTCGATAAAGCGGCACGACACAAGAACCCTCTCATCGTGGCCGCCGGTAACTACATTCCCGATCCTGCGGACAGAATGGAAAGCAGTCGACGTCGCCCAAAACACGTCATCTCGGATCCTCCCGATCCACTAACGGTGCTTTTAGGTACTTCAAGCACCGGTCNTTTTTATTGCTTAGATGGATGGACGAGCTCACAGCCCACCTGGTGTTAAGTGGTTACTGGAGCCCATAGACATCTACAACGTAAATGCGCCACCCACCTCGAGATATAAGTTCTAAGATCTCAGTATAGTTACAACGGCTACCCCACCCTTCGAACCGAAACGCATTACTGCTTCACGGCGGAAATAGGCGGGGTGGTGGTACCTAACCGTGCGGACTCCCAAGAGGTCCTACCACCAGTGAATTTTAACGAATCTAGCTGTAGGAAAGCTGAAATTATTTTAATAGACCTTGAAATATATTTTTTTTGCGCATCGAATACAATTATTGCCTATCATTTATGTACAAAGCAGTTATTGTCGCTTAGTCGCGTTTGCCTTTCAAGCGTCGATATATAAAAATGAATTGCTGTTCGTTAGTCTCGTTAAAACTCGAGAACGGCTGAAGCGATTTGGATAATTTTGGTCTTGAATTATTTGTGGAAGTCCAGAGAAGGTTTAAAAGGTAGATAAAGATGAAAATGCTCGGAATTAAATAAAAATAACAATTTTGTTTTCCCTTTGATGTGTCTCCTGTCGAACGGATTCCTTTTGTTTGTTTTAAGTTTATTTTATACAAAAGTTTAGGTCTTTTATTTATCGATTGAGGTACAACGAAGTCTGCCGGGTCAGCTACTTAATAATATAAAGTTCTTTGACACATTGCCTGCCATAGATAATACACATAGTTATAGATAAGCAACTCAAGCACTCAACAAAGATGTTTACGGGCGTCAGCCACTAGATGGCATCGCTTCGATTAGTTTCTCATTGTTCCTGTAGATGGCAGTAACATATTACCTATCCTATATTTTATTATTAATGACGGATTTTGTAAATTTTCAGAAACCATAAATTGATAAAATTTAATCAATTTGTCTGAGATAACACTTAAAGACTTCTTCTATAATATGATGTATATTTTGTATGTTTTATAGTATCACAGTTTCAGGGCCCTGATGTAGGTCAGCGGTGCCCTACGTGGCGCATTATTTATTTATTTACTTTATTTATGGTTAGCATAGGAGTAGAAACTCAATAATAATTTTCATCTGTGCTTGAACTGATAAAAACTGTATCTCAATCAGAATTGCTCCTCGTGCAAAAGAATACAACAGCTTTACTTCAGATACTTACACAAAATACAAAATTACTAGATAAAAATTAAATTGAAGTAATTACATATATTGATTTCTGTTAATAAGCTCCTGAATTGACTAACTTTGCCTTCTTTTGTTTGTTAATGTATGTTTTAGTCTTTTAAGTGTCTTAGAAATAGATTATTTCTCAGTATCATCTGATTCGTCTTCCCCAGAGTCTACCAGATATTCCCGCGTCTTAGTAAGAAGATCTAAAAAGGAAATTGACATAATCACTTCAGTGCGCCACGTAGGACATCGGTGACCTACATAGGAGTCAACATGTTAAAGTTAAATTTTTCCAACGTTTTAGGCAAATCGCTTTAGCTTTAATGCTTTATATGTCAAGATTTTTTAATTTGTAACTTGTTATTGTTTACCTCACAAAGCTGCAAAAGCATCTGCCCATGTGCACATGCTTTCTTCAGTCGAGACACAAGATGAAACTTTTTTCTTGGTTCGGTATTAGCTTCCTGACGCAGTTGCATGGCATGAGCCCATGCCCTCTCGGCTTGCAGCAGCGGTATGTACAGCAATCTATTCTCGGCATTGTTGGCCGTAAGGTGGGTAGTTGTGACATCACGACGACGGTAATGGCGTCTGTCTCCCTGCATTCAAAGTTTTTGAAGTGAAACTTCTTTAGAATCGTTGATTTCAAACTCGATGAAACGAAAAAATAAGTCCATAGAAACACAAACACATAAATGTATAGGTTTCAGCCGGCGAGTTCTCAGTGTAGCGTTTTTTTAATACAGTTTTAATACTAACGTTTTTTTTTTCTAATGAAAAGGTTGACAAAGCATCAAATAACTAGTAGTTTATTTCCAAACTGTAAGTATGCCAGAGTTGTCTTCAATAATTCATAACCGTTTGCAAGAAAATCTAGAAATTATTGCTATTATGTTAACATGCCCATAGTATTAGATAATTTGCATTGTTATTTTCACATTGTTATACAATATTCGATCAATCAACAATTGGAATCGAGCTGTTTAATTTTTTTTTTGCTGCTGAGGTGGGTGGAAAATCTGATGGCCCACTTGGTGTTAAGTGATTATCAGAGCCCATAGACATCAAGAAACTTAATGCCGCCACCCACCTTGAGACTTGAATTCTGTTTCAGTTTTCAATACAATGACTGTCCGCCCCTTCAAATAGAAACCATCAGTAATTATGCAAGTTATTATTTTTGGGTGTTTGATTTTCACTACCCCGATATTCTTTCACTACGAAAGACATTTATGAAAATTTTGAAGTCGTCGTGGCCTAAGTTGATCGATGCACCGGCGTTCGAATCCCGTACTTAAGAAATGTTCACGATTGATTTCCACAGTGAAGGAAAAACATAATGTAATAAAAATCAAACCCGCAAAATTATAATTTGTGTAATTACCTTTTGTGTGCCCACACGGGTAGATACCACCACCCCGCTTATTTCTGCCGTGAAGCAGTAATGCGTTTCGGTTTGAAGTATGGGGCAGCCGTTGTAACTATACTGAGACCTTAGGACTCATATCTCAAGGTGGTGGCGGCATTTACGTTGTAGATGTCTATGGGCTCCAGTAACCACTTAACACCAGGTGGGCTGTGAGCTCGTCCATTCATCCACGCAATAAAAAAAAAACATGTTTTAGCTACATATTTTATTAGAAAAAAAAAAAGAAAATTCAAAAAACCCGAGATAGATCTGATATTCGAGCACCAGCACCAGCACATTGCTCAATATAAATGTAATGGGCACCACCACAAAAATTTCAAAACTTTTACATAATAGTCTATTTTCACTTATTTTTTACCTGTGGTATTTTGAGTACTTTTCGCAGTCTTCTTATGCGGCGCGAACAATAGCCACGATATCTCTGATAATCAGCATGTCGGAGACCATGCTGCTGCTGACTGTCTCTTGTTATCCGAAATACTGATTAAGAGTCAAGTAAATTTTTGTACTTATGTTATAACTTTTCATTTTATAGCAAAACAAAATGAAGTAAACAAGTGACAGTTTGATTATAATAAAAGATTTTAAAAAAATACCTTGGACCAAATGCAAGAGCAGGCATTTTATAGCAAATAATGTTTAATATTATCTGATAATGAGGTTTTTAATTATATCCATTTAATATTACTTATTAAACTTTTACCACATGAAAACTTTTAAAGCCATTAAAACCTTGCACACAATATGCTGTCAATTTATGAAACACTTTTAAGGCCCTCTGTGACATATCCCTACAGTTGCTTAAAATATTTGTTTAAGTTAAAGCTCATTAAACCTCAGCTCAAATTTTTTAGAAACTGTTACTGAGTGATGGCCTACAGAGAGTATACGATTTTCACTGAAGGCTCCAAGCTGTACTCAAATGCTAATGTAGGAACTGGTTTTATAAGCAACTGTTCAACTTTAAGCTACCTAATGAGACAAAGTGCTCTTGGTGGAGAGAGAGCACATAGTTATACTAAGCTGTCTTACTTAGATTTTGGAAAAACCACTAAACCCAATTCGATCAAAACGAACGTAGTAAGCACATCAATATTACGGTTGATCTACTTATATACAATATGGTTCTAATTGTGGAGCAAGGGTTGTGAGACTTTTAGTTAAAATGTTTTTGTAATAAAGCTTAAGTCAAACTTTACTTTATTTTGTATTTGCTTGGTTGCACTTAATTAATTGCGATTATAGATACATAAATTCTGCGAGTATAAGTTATTATTGATAAAGGATACTTTCTAAGTTGAGGAGGATGGGTGCCTTCTCATTTTTCTTATCAGAATTTTCTACCGCTGTCACCTTTCCATTTTCAATTTCACTCTCTTGACCTACCATATTAATATTAACAACCAGTGTTTAAGTTATGTACTTAAAACAATTTTTTATAACATTGATTAGGTTGAACACACGACACGACTTATTTTTCTAAAATTTGACGTGATTGACATGAATGACGTGACTACTGTTAGTGAGTAGTGCTGTGTATTTCGATTACCGATCTATCGGGGTTAAAAATATAGATAATTTTGTTAACCATTGCTGGTTTATTTCGGTGTGCTAAAAAGCTTTAAAAAACACTGGGATCAGTAAATGAATATTGCTTAATGATAATCTAAAGCTAAGACATACATTGTTTTGTACATTGGCTTCGATTGCATTACAATATGCTTGAGCTGCACGTTACCTTTTCCAAAATTTAATATAATAGTTACGTTTATCATAAGTTACTTGCTATTTACAGTAGGAGTATTTAAGGAATATTTGGCCAGTAATTTACGATAAATAAAGTTGTTTTCAACGAATAAAATTGCGTTAGTGACCAAAGTTTTGAAGCATCTTGGGGCTCTATTCAACAGCCAACAGTGATGGACAGTCTTGTAATTTTTGAGATATTATTCACTTGAATTTTTTATACTGACTAACCGCTGATAGCTTAAGGGGCTAGTCGAGCTCACGGGCTCAGCCAGAAAATTTGCTAACACTAGCTAAATTACATAAACCTTTCCTATTTGCTACTTCACTTTGCATTTAACAATAGACATCGGACATTTGATAATAATAGTGGATTTTTGTGCGGGAACGCGAGGAGTGAAGTTTTGTGATTTGTTTTATTTTGTCTATTTAGTGTCTCTACAGGTTTAAAGGCGTAATAACGGTGGCTTATTAACTATTTAGTATCTTTGAAAGTGCACAAATGTGGGAAAATAAAACTAAGCCGTTGGATGTAGCTTCTCGGGATCCTACAAAAAGCCCACTGAAAAAGTTTCAGTAAATGACACCATTTTACTGATATTATATTTCATCCCACATAATCTCATCTCATTTCATGCCATGCTTTATATTAATCAATTTCATATCATGTTAACATTCTTCATATAAAAAAATGTATATATATAAATAAAAGAGTAGGTTGTATGATGTAACACGTTTGCCTTTCCAGTTGGAAAAGTAAAAGTACTACTGAAAATAATAATTGACATGTAAAATCTGTCACTGTCAGGTCTTCTGTTCTGTCCTCTGAATCTAAGTGGTTTGTGTTTTTCTAAGCATGTTAAAAATTCGTTAAATATCAATAAAATCATTTAGCAAAATAAGTATCTTAAAATAGAGTGAGCTATACGTTGTGTATGTATTTACAGTAACGACTTTATTTTCCTTTACAGGATTGAAAACGCATCAAAATGGCAAAGTCAAAGAATCATACAAATCATAACCAAAGTAAGTAAACAAAACTAAAAAACCATCCGAGTCTTGACACTCGCGAGAGTATGAACTGGATTGATAATTCGTAACTTATTTTCTTAAATGGAAATGTCTGTTTCATACAAACGTACTACATCTATAAACTGCTAAAACAAACTTACTTTTCAACAGACCGCAAAGCTCACAGAAATGGTATCAAAAAGCCAAGGAAGACCAGGCACGAATCCACCCTTGGCGTAAGTGCTATTATAAACAAAACCTAATATTTTAGATAATTTAATTCACTTAGAAATTAGCTTAGAAATTTGATCTTTATAAATAAGCGCCTTACTTTTGTAATCTTGTATGCAGAAATGAAATAATTTGAATGCTTCATAATAGCATTAACATTAGCGGTAACTAGTAGCTATAAAGTAAATAATTTTGTGCTTAACATGGTGTACCTTATTTATCTAGTATCTGTGTATTTTTCCAAATATTTTAATACGTTATTCAGACACAAACAAAATTAAACCAGCAAAAATGTCTTAAAATATGTGTGCTATTGTGACTTTATCGTGTTGCTTAAAAATGTTTGAGGAAATGGAAAGGTGGATGAAGGAAATAAGGATACAAATGTTTTGAAAATCAAAATTTTGTTTGCATGTAGAAGAAATGAAGATGAACAGACTTATAAATTAATAATTACATAAGCTCTGATTGTCAGTGACCAATATTTGTAGTTTTGATTTGTAAGTTCATAGCCCACCTGGTTCTGTGTGCTTCTAAGTATCAGAATGTGAATGTTGTATTATGGAACTGAGACTCCCTGTAACCATACTTGTCGAACTCATTGAAGAGTTTGATGTGTAACTTAACCTAAACATCAGCCCATTGAGGTTCTTACTGGATCTTCTCAGTAGATCGCGATTGCAACCTGATTGTAGATTCATTAGCAAACCAGCTACTCTTGAGTTGTTAGGTTTCCATTGGAGGCGTTAGGTAGCAAATCCCACCCCTCTTGGCTGAGCCCTTGCCCGCCCACCTGTCCTTGTGAAGGATTGGAAAGGCCTTTGGGCCAACAGGAATCCCACAATCATGAAAAAAAAAAGACGGAGGCTAATACTTATGTCTCAAGATGGATGGAGGAGATGTTTCTGCTAAATAACTCCAGATAAGCCATGAGTTTATTCACCGATTGAGGAAATAAATAATATTAAAAAACCTATCCATCATAATATTATTTAAAAAAAAACAATTTTTTTTGTAATTTCAGATGGATCCAAAATTTTTAAGGAATCAAAGGTTTTGCAAGAAGGGTAACCTGAAGCCAGCCAAGCAACTCGCGAGGGCGGCTGAGAGAAAAGCTACCCGAGAAGCAAAGGCCAAGAAATGAACATTAGTTATAAGCAAATAAACGCATAAAAAATATTGATTTCTTTTTACTTTGCCTAAATTGTTAGTAACTGAAATGACACTGCTGGCTCTTGGATTCTACTTCCTATTAAAGTCATCCTTTATATGGTTCTGCACTAAGTTTGCCAGAAAGGCAACATATGTCATTATTTTTGTATTCTTCTAAGTTTGTTTAAAAAGAAAGGAGTACATTGCAAATAATTTTTTTTTATTCTTGTTCTGTTATTTTATACATATGTACCAAAAAATGCACAAATATATCTCTGAAGTTGGTGTCCTGTCTTCAACCACTTCCTGCTGAGGGCTGTCTTTGATAAATATTTACTGCACTGCATGATCAGTAGGGAGGCACCAGCAATACAGGTTTGCTGAATCAAATTCCAAACAATCTAGTATTAGGATCACCTATAATTTTTTTTTTTTTTTTATTATGTGAGTAGATGAGCTCAAGGCCCAGCTGGTATTAAGTGGTTACCAGAGCTCATAAACATCTACAATATAAATGCCGTCACCTACCTTGAGTTCTTAGGTCTCCGTTTTTACAGAACAATTTGAATGCAATTTTCTGTATGGAAGGGAACGAGGGGTTACTTGTCAACTCAACGAAGAGAACACGCGACGACCTGCCCATTCTTTGTAAAATATAACAGCAGTGCAGAGCAGCACTGGCGATACTCACGCAGCATTCAAACTCAGCCTCGACTCACCGCATGCTTCGAGCAGCACTGGCACTTGCAAGCTAATCTCAGCACGGACAACGCTAATTGAATGACACGACCTCCAGTTGCCCACTGAGTTTCTCGCCGGATCTTCTCAGTGGGTCGCGTTTCCGATTCGGAGTTAGATTCTACGAAGCACTGTTCTTGCTAGGGCCAGTATTGGCAACACTCCCGGCTTGAGCCCCGTGAGCTCACCTACACATCAAGGAGAAGCTGAAATAGCCTCTCAAGGCTATCAGCATAGGTAGGAAAAAAAAGACCTCCAGTCTCGGTGGAAATGATGTGGCGGTAGCCATCATACAACGCAAGATATTTGACAGATGCCTGAATCTCGCTTACGACATTTTCAAGATAAGCTTGTATATAATACACAAGATTTGGCTGTATAGGCAAAGGTTACTTTGCCGATTTCTTAGACAAAGAAAATAATAATTAAATGAGTGTAAATTTGAGTTTATTTTCGTACAAAATTCCGTTATTATTAGTGTTCTGTGATTCCGTTTTATTACTTTTAATTCATAGAATTATTTAATTAAGAAGCAATATATTAATATACTGTCCCAACTGTAGTTTAAATTTCCAAAAATACAAGTTTGCATTCTGGGTGATTCAAAAATGAATGAAAATATATCAGAAAGAAGTATATCAGAAGGAAGTTCTGACTTTTCCAAACTTGATTGCGTCTCCTTTTTGAATCTACTCAACAAATACGTGAAAGTCAAGCTCTTAAAAAATTCAGAATTTGAAGGGTTTATACGGTGTATAGATCCGATATCTCATAGGTAAATTTTAAATCAATCTTCTACTATTATTCCCTACTTTTCCAGTTCACGTAATTCTTTTTTTTTATGTCTTTTTTTAATACAAATTCTGTTTAATAGCGATTTAATAGTAAATTATGAAATTCTTCAAAGTAATTAATGACCTTCAATAGTTGATTGTAAGATTGTTGTATTTATATTTTTACAATACAATGCTATTTATTGTTTGATTATCGATTGTTATTGACAAGTAAATTTAAGAAATAATAATAAAATTATCATAATTTTGTTACAGCTTAATTCTTTCCATAGCAAATCACAGCACATACCACACAGTGGTTGTACCTGGCCATGCAATAATAGATGTTACAGAAACACATACAGATTTGATACCACCTATTCAGACACCTGCTAGTTACGTTGAAGACATTAGTGTGGATAGAAAATCTAATCTAATATCTTGGCTGAAAAAGAATTTGTTGCCAGTTACAGAAGTGAATGACAATATTGTATTTGGAAATGTGACGATAATTCCTCCTTATAGTATTAATGATATATGTACGGATAATACTATTGTGGCAATGCAAATGCGAAAACTAATTCGACAAATGCCATAATTTTAAAATTCTTACAAGTAATGCAATACAATTGACAGTTTTGAATCGAAAACACTGTAACTGGAAAGATAATTCATATTTTTTAAATATTAGAAATTATGATTAGTGAGGACCATCCTAGCATCATAAAATGTAATTTAATATATTTTTGTTTAAATGGTTAAAACTATAATGACTATTAAGAAATTAGGGTTTTTTGTCTTCATTGCTTTTTTTCTAAATAAACACTGCTGATGTCTCGGTATTGAAGATAGTTCAAATGTAAAATTAGCATAATGCATACTGCTGGAATAAATTGAGACATAAAAATCTAACGAAATCTTCTATTTTGATTTCGGTCTTCCAATAAATTCTTCCAAAATATTCAATACAAATATTATTGAAGGGAGTAGTAAATGGTTCTTAACATGTACCTATTCACCCTCAATGAAATCATTAGTGATTTGAAACTGTATCTCTTAGTGATATAATGTCAAGATTTTAGAACAGCATGTTTTAAGTATGGTTTTTGAAAATATTTGGTCTTTTTTTGGTAAACCAAGTTGTGAACTTATGAATATTAGGGTAATTTCACCAACTTCATTAACTTATCTTTAAAAAACTGCAAAGGGTTTTTGAAAAAAATACTAAGAAAATAAAGAATCATAAAAAAATGCCCATTTATGTTTCTTTTCAATTTGTATCAAACGGTATCTAGCGTATCTGCTAAGTTGACAAAACAACAACAACAAAATCAGCGTGACTTATACCTCTATGCCCACAAGACTATAAACTTTTAATTTAATCTGCCGATCCGATTGTATGTTCTAAATAATCATAAAAAAGACGGTGCGCGTGCAACTTGATGCTCGTGAAAGAAGTAAACTTCTTTTGTGGTTTTATTCATTTTTCATCTTTAAATAAAAATTATCTTGTAATAGGGAATGCTGTGTATAAGAGAAACGACCTAGCTCACTTTGTCCTTTCCCTGTCTCCACGTAGAATTCGTAGAAATAACAAATTGAATGCTGCTATCCACCTTGAGACGTGAGGTCGAAGTCTATTGTATTTTCTAATTGCTCATAACCTCAACCATTAAGCTATACCATACCACCAGTGAACTGTAGTTCAAAAGTCGTGTTTTTTAAAGGTGTAGTGAAAAATTATTTTGCAGCTTGGCCACTGATCTGAATTCAATCATTGGTCCCTGAAGAATGCATTCCTGATCAAACTGACGATATAACTCTGAAGAGGCTTTGTATTGAAGATAAAAATATGTTATTTTGCCCTACTGTGAATACATATTAAAAATTAATTATTGTATATTTATCAACATATGTACATATATCAACGTAAAATAAAAGTTGTAATTTTGCATTAAATTTAAATCGGATTACATTTATTCTTTCGGCAGATGATCAATAAATTGAGTAATTTCAAACCGTTTATCTTGTGAAATTTCTGAATTATAATAGTTTTGTGGAGATTGAGAGGATGCTTTTTGAATGTGGAAGGATATATAGGGAGAGGTAGACCTAAAAAGAAATGGATGGATTGCGTGAAAGACGATATGGGTAAGAGGGGAGTGAGCGAAAAAATGGTACCTATGTGATTGAAGAGTATAGAAGGAGAAAACATGTTGCGCCGACCCCAGTTAACTGGGAGAAGGGCAGGATAATGATGATGAGAGGATGCTTTTTCTGTTTGATTAGTGTTTAATTTGGTCCTTTTCTGTAGTTTGGTATCCTGATAATTAAATATAAAATGACTACTCACTCAGTATTCATATAATAATATCTCAGGGCCGTACTAAGTATGCATTTTGAAGGGCTTTATTTAGTATACAGAAAAGTGGTTAAAGAAGATAAATCATCGTTAATGGATTTTTAAATCTTAATTTTATTTCATTTTATTAAATTAATTTATTTAATTAATTTATTTAATTAAAATTTCATAATGTAATCAGTATGTATTAATATGTTTAGGTATGTAGGTATTTTCACAAAAAAGTTGTTATATTTTACTCTGAAATTATGTTTATATTTTACGAGAACCGTACATATACACAATACAAAATAATACTTTGAATTGTGCTTGTCATTTTTAGTTTAATCTTTAATAATTCTAATACCCATTGTCGTGGCGGTTATACTTACGTCTACTTATGTAGAATCATATAAATGAATTTAAAATTCTGTAAAAATGAAATTTTGTTGGTTAGTATTAATGTTCATATTTCTAATTAATTATGAAAATTACCTTGCATATGGTAAGACAATTTTGAGGCTTAATCTAAAGTTAGATAGCTTTGCATTATAAAGATTCGCAATTTTCCAAAAAATGTTAAAAGACTAGGTATAAGGTAAACGTATTAAAGAACAAGTAGATATTATGTCAATTTAGATTACATTTTCACGTCAATCTCCCTCTCGTCTACACTCATCATAATTCTTGCAACTATGTATGTATGTACATGTGTATACATACTGTTTAAGTACAAGAACGAGAACTGTGATAGTAGCAGTTTGTTCATTTTACACTCGAACATTTTATTGTTACATGACGGAAACTTCACACGTCACCGTGATGTAATTCTCAAGACGGTTTTATTGTGGAAATTGGTGATAAGACACCTTTATTCGCATAGTCAGTCGCATTATAAATATTGTTTTGGCATTTCAGTTACATTTTAATTACAATCAGTGAAATGGCCGAATCCACAAAGAGAAAAGTGCAATATTTAGCGGGAATTTGTGGTATGTATGTAATGTCAATTTAGCGGGAATTCAAATTGCTTAAGTTACAAGTTTAAATGTTTTAATTTTGAACTTCAGCCTCATTAACATTTATGTTTACTGGAGCAACATTAGCGTGGCCTTCGCCAGCGATTCCAAAGTTAACAAGCGGCGAAGCGGGCGTAAAAATTACTGACGTAAGTCGCCACCTCAATTTTTTAAATGAATAGGTAGCATTGTGGAAATTATTTTGAATGTATGTTGAATATTATTAGCCAACCTCTAGGATATCGTGATTATATTTGTCAACTGATATTAAGCAGAACTTAAGTTTTATTTTTTGAGCAAGTGACGAGTAAAATAAGTTTTAAAATTTATCTAATATACACATTTAATAAAATGATAAATGATTTAAATTTATACCGTAATAAATTTTATATCATAGGTTGTTTGATTTAAATGTAATATAGTGAATTGGATTTTTAGGAACAGATATCATGGGTGGTGTCGCTTCATGGGCTGGGTGCGTTGTTAGGTTGTTACGGTGGTCAATTATTGAACGAACGTGTTGGACGTCGCAAAACCATTTTTGTTTCGTCTGCCCCAGGAATATTAGGTGCGGTATGTTCGAACTTTAAAATATTTATTCGGATAATTCGTTATAGCGCAATGCAACCGTTACTATCTAGTGTAGAATTAAAGCTTGTTTTATTTAAGAGGTGCGCATACTCATTTGGATTAAAAAAAATGTGTGCGTGTACTAGTGTACACACGTAAGAAGTGAAACTTCTTTATGGCCTTATTTTTCGAAAAATGATCTACATGCAACTTTCTAGAAATTGGTTAAAAAAAGTTAAATTAGATAAAGTTTAAACAAAAGGATTTTATTATCATAGACATGAATACAAAAAAGATGGCGCGTAACGGAAAAATGTGACGCGTAACCGAAAAATGTGACGGTAAATTTTTTTCCAACGCCGATAAGGAAGTTTCACTTCAAAAATAAAATAGACAGAATTTATTTGTCTGTTCTTTTTTTAAATTGTAATAACTATTGTCTTTTTTTTATTTTATTTTAATAGGAACTACTACTAAAGGGATTTCAAGATTTAATTACTTTTTCAGATTATGATATTTTTTAGTAAAATGCCTGTTGTGATGTACCTTGCACGTTTTCTCATGGGGGCGTCGACGGGCGTAATTGCCGTGGTAACTATAAAATGTTGAAAGAATTCGGTATTTAATGTAAAATTTATAAAATATATGATAAAATAACAGTATTAGTTTTTCAGGTGACAATGATATATGTAACAGAAATAGCCGATAAGGAGATTCGGGGCGCATTAGGTATGATAATTCAAGTTATGAACAACTTCGGATGTCTTATCATATACAGCGTCGGGCCGTTCGTTTCGTATACTTTCCTGAATTCGATACTAATTACGATACCTATAATATACGTATTAGCGTGTTTGTGGATACCGGAATCTCCGTATTATCACTTAAAAGACGGGCGAATAGCTGCAGCAAGAAAGGAGTTTAGAGTTTTAAAAGGATCCAAAAACGAAAAGGTATTGTTATGGGCTGTGTGTTAAAATGACAGTGATTTTTTTTCATGCTAGAATATTGTGAGATTACTAAACGCTATAAGAGCTGTGTGCGTAAAGTAAACATTTTGGGCGCAGGGCCGTATTTAGGATACAGAGCGGGATTCGATTGAGATTCGCGCGACAAAGTTAAACAAATAATACAAGTCTGCTTATTTCTGCGACAAATCATAACTTTGTTCCGTATTTGTATGTCGTTACGTGATACACATCCTCTCCGTTAAGTAAATGCATACATAACACACATTCGTGGACCATTTACACGATAAAGGGACGTCAGATCCTCCTATTTGTATGAAAATTTATAAAATTGTGTAAATGATTAGCGGTAATAGTATCGTGAGTTCGCACCGATAATTATCTATTAATGCACGTTATTCCAATGCAACCTTCGTTCTTCTACGGATCTCCTCATTTCGGATTCGATCACGTAGAGAAATGCCGAGCATAGCCCTCTCCATAGCTCGCTGCGCGACTTTGAGCCTTCTAAAAAGATCCCTAGTGAAGCACCACGTCTCTGACATAGCCCGTAGAATTAGTGAACTGAAGTGGCAATGGGCCGGCCACATAGCACGAAGAGAGGACGGTCGATGGGGCAGAAAGATCCTGGAGTGGCGACCACGTACTGGCAAGCGCAGTGTGGGACGGCCACCTACTAGATGGACCGACGACCTAGTAAAAAGTGCTGGGTCTCGTTGGATGCAGGTGGCAATGGATCGGTCGCACTGGAAATCTATTGGAGAGGCCTATGTTCAGCAGTGGACGGCGATAGGCTGAAATGATGATGATGATGATGATGATTCCAATGCAGTCAGGTTTCGACCTTATATCTCAGGGTATTGAGAGTGTATATATGGGATCGAATGCACAGAATAAGTTTAATTAAATTTTATTAAGCATTTTATTGGATTGATTACGATAATAAAAACAGTATCTTTGATTGCTAGATTTTAAACATCAATACAATAGGCTTAGGCAGTGGCGGTTTTACTCATTTTCCGGTAAGCTATTCAAATTAGGTTGTCCCATTTTTGTCGCGCCAAGGTGCGAATCTCTGTCGGGGCTCTCTACTGCCATCTACTAAATTATGCTGTCTCTACTGATCTCTACGATGCCTCACTTCATTAAATGTATCTAACTGATGAAACAATAAAAGTTGAATTAATTTGTATAGACCTAGTAACATTTTTAAGGATATCAATCATCATCATTTTTAATATAAACTTCTTTTAACATAGACTTTTTTCATAAACTTTAAGATTAAAAAGAAATGGGCCCTTGCTTCCCTAGCCCTATTCAGGCTGGTTGTAAACTTGAATAAAACGCTACTTGAAATAATTTCCTAATGTCTGCTGCTCAGGCAACCTATATAATAATATATATATTTCAAAACTTAATCTTGACTTTTGATAAAATTGATAGTTAATTAATTTAATCAATTCGTACGTGCATTACCGTAACCCTTTCTTTTTAATTTCAATATACAGACAAATATTTGTTACAGTTTTACACAAGTACCTAATTCAAAATTTAAATTTAAATTTTAAATTTTAGTTTAAGCTTCATATTTTTACAGTGGATCGATGAGCAGTTTAACGTCATACGAATACACGTGCAGGAAAATATGGAGAGCAAAAGCTCTGTGAAGGAATTGCTAACCAATACTAAATACAGGAAAGCCATTTATATTGTTTTGGGTAGGTAATCTATACATCTATACATCTAAATAAAATTGGAGTGTCTGTTTGTAGCCTTGAAATAACCGCTTTTTACTACGTGCATATGAATATATATATGTATATACGGTACATACACCGAAATAACATTTTTTACAATTTGTGTCTGTCTGTTTGTTCCGGCTAATCGCTGGAACGGCTGGACCGATTTCGATGAGACTTTCACTAATAGGTAGCTGATGATATAAGGAATTACTTAGGCTTTTTTTAGACTAGCTTCGCCCCGCGGCGTCACCCACGGTTATTTTCGTACCGCGCGCAACATAGCGGGCTTCGCCTATCAATAATAATATTTAATGTTTCCAAAGCGAAGCGAAGGCGGGTCGCTAGTAAATAATATTGTATAACTTAATCAATAGATCAGAAGTCCTCGTGGCCTAAAGGATAAGTGGCTCGATGTATTCGTATTGAGCGATGCTATTATGACTGTGTTCAAATCCCGTAGTAATCGGTAGCAATTTTGCTATAATACTACTATAATTTCATTTTTCAACGTAAGTTTTTATTTTTACCTTGTCTATGGCTTTGTCTGTGGGCTATGGACTTTAAAGTGAAAGTCCCGTACATATTAAAAGTCATAAACTTAACATAATTTTATACTGAATGCGGTACTTCCACCTTAGATAGCAGTCTGTATATAAATATGTAATTATAACTTTAACGAGTTTAATATTGACTTTCCTGCATCGGTTATCTATTGTTTGTGCAAGAGATCTCTGTAATTAACTTATTGTTGAAACTGCAATTCTAATTACTTCGGTTACCTTCAAAACGGCTTATACATTAAATTTGCTCATGTGAATGAGTTCAAATTTTCTGTTTTTCAAACTGTACATAGGGCCGAGTCACACCGGAATGGTAGCGGCCGGCAGCGTCGCGGCGAGCACTTTCAGTGTGAAATAATTTTAAACTTTATCTATATACTTAAAAGATCAGTATCGCTTGAAAAGCTAGGAAAGGTCGTGACACAGCCGCCGCCTGCCCGCGGTGAAGCGAACAGTCGCGCGCCACGTGCGTATTGTCGGTTGATCTGCCCGCGGCTGGCAGCGGCGACACAAGGCCGCTCGCGGCACCGCCCTCATATAAACATAACCAATTCCATTATGTTCACTCCAAACATACGTTTTTTTTTTATTGCTTAGATGGGTGGACGACCTCTTTGTTTTATAGCTTAGATGGGTAGACGAGCTCACAGCCCACCTGGTGTTAAGTGGTTACTGGAGCCCATAGACATCCACAACGTAAATGCGCCACCCACATTGAGATATAAGTTCGAAGGTCTCAAGTATAGTTACAACGGCTGCCCCACCCTTCAAACCGAAACGCATTACTGCTTAACGGCAGAAATAGGCAGGGCGGTGGTACCTACCCGCTCGGACTCACAAGAGTAATTACACAAATTATAATTTTGCGGGTTTCATTTTTATTACACGATCATTGTCGAATGAAGAAGCTAAACTAGTCAAGAGGAATGGCAGCGGCCGGCGGCGATGCCAGCGGCCCCCGGCGTCGCCGCTGGCAGCCTCACGCGGCCTCCAGACTGCACGCGCCTAGTCTCCTCTTGATTAGTTTAGTTTCTTCATTCGGCAATGATCGTATAATAAAAATGAAACCCGCAAAATTATAATTTGTGTAATTACTGGTGGTAGGATCTCTTGTTAGTCCGCGCGAGTAGGTACCACCGCCCTGCCTATTTCTGCCGTGAAGCAGTAATGCGTTTCGGTTTGAAGGGTGCGGCAGCCGTTGTAACTATATTTGAGACCTTAGAACTTATATCTCAAGGTGGGTGGCGCATTTACGTTGTGGATGTCTATGGGCTGCAGTAACCACTTAACACCAGGTGGGCTGTGAGCTCGTCCACCCATCTAAGCTGTAAAAAAAGGGCTCGTACCCAACTAAGCAATAAAAAAAAAACGTATGTTTGGTGTGAACATGATGGAATTGGTTATTATATAATATGACCGCGGTGCCGCGAGCAGCCTCGTGTCGCCGCTGGCAGAACCACCGACAAGACGTACGAGGCGCGCGGCTGCTCGCTTCACCGCGGGCAGGCGGCGGCTGTCTCGCGACCTTTTCAAGCTTTTCACGCGATACTGATCTTTTAAGTATATAGATAAAGTTTAAATTTATACCACAGTGAAAGTGCTCGCCGCGACGCTGCCATTCCGGTGTGACTCGGCCCTTAGCAACAGTGTGTTTATAAATAAGAAAATTAAGATTTCCCCTATCGATAATCGCTTGATTAATACTCGACAGCTTTTAGGGTATTATAAAACGTATTTTTGTACTAATACATTCAGTAAAATTTCAGGCTTGAAGATCCTCCAATATATGACCGGTATTCTCGTTATACAATCGTATCTTGAAGCGATATTTACAGAGAGCAGTTCTATATCCGGTCCACTTGCGAGCATTGTCTATGGATTTGTGCAAATCGTCGCATGTAGGTGGTATTAAAAAAATAAAAAAATAAAAAATAGACAATGTAATATTTATTAATTTGTATCTTTCCAGGTATTGGCGCTACGTTTCTGACTAGGTGGATCGGACGCAGGATTCTCATGTTCGTTTCTTGCCTTGGCGTGTCACTATCAATGACATTAGTCGGATTGTATTTCTATCTAAAGGACGTTGTGAAAGTGCAGCCGGAAACATTGGCTTCTTTATTTCCGGTGCCTCTAATTGGCATCATAGGGTTTAATATATTATACGCGAACGGCTTAGGGAACTTACCGTACGTGATGCAAGTAGAATTGTTTCCTGTAAACGTGAAGGCTGTCGCGTCCAGTCTCGCGACGATGTTAGCTTGCGTCTTCAGTTTTGTCGTGACGAAATTCTATCAGGTCGTCAAAGATTCGTTCGGTCACTGTTCCGTGTTTTGGTCGTTCGCTTTTGTTGGTTACGCGGGTTTGTTCTTTGTTTATTTTTGTGTGCCAGAAACGAAAGATAAAACGCTGGAAGAGGTACAGGATAATATGGAGAAACGCTCGCCTGAAGAACGGGCTTTGAGAGAGCGAAACATTGATGAATGCGATCACCGTGAAGAAGCTAAATAGTTGTTTGTGATTGGTGTAGATGTAAATATTTTTTTCGGGACGTATGCAATGTTCTTGTGTTTAATGCAGACGCGGCCACGTCATTGCAATTTTATATTAAAAAAATATGTTAGTTAAGAAGACATGTCTTTACCATATAATATACTAGCTGACCTGGCAAACTTCGTAGTGCCTCGAATCGATAAATAAAAGACCTAAACTTTTGTATAAAATAAACAAAAGGAATCTGTCCTACGGGGGACACATCAAAGGAAAAACAAAATTGTTCTTTTTATTTAATTCAGAGTATTTTCATATTTACCTTTTAAACCTTCTCTGGACTTCCACAAATAATTCAAGACCAAAATTAGCCAAATCGATCCAGCCGTTCTCGAGTTTTAGCGAGACTAACAAACAGAAATTCATTTTTATATAAATAGATAACAAAAAAACTCTTGGGAACGGAACCCCAAAAATAAGCCGCTATTGACGTTTTTATGGAAATTTACGATCGTTGCTCAAAATTAATGACATGTCCTTCGAATGAGGCTTGTGGAGAGTATTTAACGGTAGACAGCGGCTTAGTTCTGCCCTGGCATTGCTGAAGTTCATGGGCGACGGTATCCTTAATAACATAATAGGTATAGTAACCGGCAAACTTCTTGAGAAAATGACCTTGACTGCGCAGAACCGAATTTTAGATCACTTTGGTGGTGAGGGTGAGGCGCGACGGCAGGGGAAATCGTATCGAGCGCGTTATTGGTAGATCAGTCGAGCCTTGCGTCCCGCACCGCGCCCTCATTCCGCTTGCTCCCAAAAGTACGCTTGCGTAGAGTGAAAAGTCTATCGTTATTAATCGTTAAGTTATTTGTTATAATTGTTTGTTGACTTTGTTGCCATTGCTATTTGTTGAGTGTTTGTTGATTTTTTATAAAAAATACACTATGCCGCGACAAACTGGTGTAGTATTCAAAAGAAAGGGTAGAAAAATGTGTACGACGTATATTGCTTCACTATAAAACAGGGGTAGAATGATATGGAAAAAGTAAAACAGACTTCGGAAGCAACAAAAACATCCGTGAGTACTGTTAGGTGCATTATTAACGAAGCTAAAGGCTCTGGCTTGCTTGCCGTGTTTCGGACTCCGGGTAAGAAAAGATCAGGGAAAAAGAAATTTACCGGAATGGATAGTTTCGTTCAATCTGTAATAAAACGATGTAATCATAATAACTACATAACAAGCAGCGAAACTCCGTACCGTAGAAAGGCTTCGAAAAATTTAAAGAAGATATAAATTTTAATGGCTCGGTATGAAGTTTACGACGAATTATGAAAGAGCTAGGCTTCAGATGGAAAAAAAACAGAAAATAATCGGAAGCTGGTAATTGAAAAAAGTTACATTCGATTACTACGAATCGAATATCTTCAAAAAAGAATTTATTATAGACAAAAAAGTAGACCGAACCGACCGAGTTGTAAACTACACCGATGATCCCTATGTCGACTCATCACGATGATAGCAACTCGGGTGATAAAAACAGTGATGATGATGGTCAAGATTATGATAACGAAAAAAAAAANGTTGTAAACTACACCGATGATCCCTATGTCGACTCATCACGATGATAGCAACTCGGGTGATAAAAACAGTGATGATGATGGTCAAGATTATGATAACGAAAAAAAAAATTACAAATACCAGCTTCGCTTCAACTGAACCAAGACCTGGCAACAGCTCTAGTTTTGACTTAATAGAAGGAATATCTATTTTACCCCAAGATTAAATTTTTTGTTGATGTGCTCATAAATATATAAATAAATACATATGTTGATTTTAATAATTTAATTGCATTATGACGCAGAGTAAATAATGTTTTTGCACGTGAGTGTACCATGCGCAAACTTACCCCCACTACGTCGACAAATGCTCAAGAAGTTTGCCGGCTATTATATGGCGATGAAGAATGACGTCATTATACAATGTAGCGTGCTTACTAAGAAGGAACAAGCTGCAGCGCTTTAACTATTTCTTAAGAATAATTATTTTATTTCTTGTTTATCAACTATGTAGATAGTTATTAAATCAACGAGCAAGCACGCTATTTGTGTATCGATCGAACGAAAAACAAAAATCCTCAAAAGAGCCTTAGTTGGTTTTGAAAAATAGATAAGCAAAATACGGCTTAATAGTCATACGTTTAATAAATAAATAAATATTTAAATAGTCATAGTTTTTAGTCTTAACTAAAATTTTGTAAATGTGCAATAATTTAGTTTCGAATTATCTTGTTAGAATTAGTCAATCGCTCCTTTTTTTTAAAGAGCAATTGGTACCTACGTCGTCTATATTTACAAGACAAAGAATAATTGTTATACTATTTGCTTTGCGAAACTGAGCCTTCGAGTGTCTTTACCTGAGTGCCTTTTTACTTTGAGTTTTCTTTGTTAATTCGACGATTTACACTCTCGGCAGAGTGTTAGAACGAATGTTCCAACTTCGCGATTCTCGTACTTCGAATGTCATCTTATGACTAAAAGTCACAAAGGAAGTGGTATCTTTAAACTCTGCGTCAGCCAACTTCGAGTATCATATACACTACATACTGATAAATTGTGTATGTTTCTATTCAATATATACGTATGTACACGTGCCAATAAATATTGTTTTTTCGTGTTTTTGTTTTTGGTTTTGATTTACCCATGAAATTTAACTTGTGTATCTTCATTTTAAATTTGATCTATTTATTGATAGTTTTTGATGGGAGAAAAACATACTCTGTCCCATATTATACTATAGCCATTTAAAATTGCAAGTGATTATCAATCAACAAGAGTGAACGATTTGAATTATGGAATGAATATAAATAAAAAACAAATAGTGACTGTAATATTGTATTCTGAATTATAATACCGAAAAACATATTACGATTACATTACGAAATTGTAGAAAATCCCGCACCTACATACATACATATGTACTTATTTAAAAAGACCTTAATGACATCACAGGACATCANTTGCAAGTGATTATCAATCAACAAGAGTGAACGATTTGAATTATGGAATGAATATAAATAAAAAACAAATAGTGACTGTAATATTGTATTCTGAATTATAATACCGAAAAACATATTACGATTACATTACGAAATTGTAGAAAATCCCGCACCTACATACATACATATGTACTTATTTAAAAAGACCTTAATGACATCACAGGACATCAGTTAAAGGTATACTCATATACGTTATTAAATGAATTTATTGAATATAAAAATCACAAGAGAGCCAGAATTGCTTAATAACATAAACAATAGCTTACAGTATCAAGAGACCGGGGACAATTTTTTTTTATTGCTTAGTTTGGTGGACGAGTTCACAGCCCACCTGGTGTTAAGTGGTTACTCGAGCCCGTAGACATTCACAACGTAAATGCGCCACCCACCTTGAGATAAGTTCTAAGGTCTCAAGTATAGTCAGGACTTTAAATAAATCGATCGTTTTCCGTTACTGGGTAGTAGTTCGGAAGTTCGACAATAATTGAATATGCAATTTCGAAAAGGGCACATGTCGCCTATTTTGTCAAATACGTTTTTTCATATACATGTAGTTTTGAGGCTTACCTACACCCATTTTATAATAACTAGAGGTCCCGGAGTAGTCGAAATTCGACTATAAAAAATATTAACAAAGACAAACAATATTTAATCTATTCTCAATTTGACAACAGACGTCAAAAACAAAAGTTTGACAATAAATAGTAGATATGCATGCGTGTGTGCGTCAAATACCTGGTATGTAGTGTGTGTAATGTTTTCTTTATTGATTTAATGTATCTTTAATGCATTATTTAAAAAAAAATAGCATTGTGCACTTCTTCTCTATATTCTCTATAAGTGTGAAAAATTTCATACTCCTCCGTCCGCGCAATTTTCGTAAAAAGGGATACAAAGTTTTTGCTTCACGTATTAATATATAGATTCCAGTAATTTTCAATTGCTAATTAACATTAAAAATATATCTCAAAAGTTTATATTTAAAATTTTACACTGCTTTAGAAAATGATCAGTTGTTTTTTTTACTCCTGAACGTTTTACATTTTCAGAGATGTGCCCTTTTCGGAATTGCATATTCAATTGTAACTGTTAGCTCTCTGGCTCTCTGGATGCTAAGTGTAGAGTTCTAGACCCGTTTGCTGTTTCCGTAGGAGTAGAGCGGCGCGAAGGGCGTGTCGGCTTGCTCGTCGCCGCTCTCCTCGGACGCGTCCGACTCGAACGTGTTGTCCGGGATGTCGTACAGGCGGATCAGGGGCTTGTTCGGGTCTTTCATGATCAAGTATTTACCTGAAATAGGTGATTTAATTAATAATTGAATTATAATTTGCGTAATTACTGGTGGTAGGACCTCTTGTGAGTTCACACGGGTAGGTACCAGCACCCTGCCTATTTCTGCCGTGAAGCAGTAATGCGTTTCGGTTTGAAGGGCGGGGCAACCGTTGTAACTACACTGAGACCTTAGAACTTGTATCTCAAGGTGGGTGGCACATTTACGTCATAGATTTCTATGGGCTCCAGTAACCACTTAACACCAGGTGGGCTGTGAGCTCGTCTACCCATCTAAGCAATAAAATAAATAAAAAAACAAGAATAATGAGGCGTACCGTCCTTCTGCTTCATGCATATGTCGATGATGCACCGCAGGATGCCCCAGGCGTTGTCCATGGACAGGTTGATCTGGGCGGCGAACTCGTGCGGCTTGAACTGCTGCGTGCCGAGGATGACGTGGCGCGAGTTGTCTCGCACCTGCGCGCGGGACACGTAACCGAACTTGATCTGGTCCGAGCCCGCCAGTAATGCCTGCACAGACAACAAACATGAAGTCGTTAAATAAGATTGATTTGTAAGTCGTCGTGGCCTAAAGGATAAGACGTCTGGTGCATTCGTATCTTGCGATGCAACGGTGTCCGCATCCCGCAGACGGGTACCGATTTTTCTAATGAAATACGTACTTGACAAATGTTCACGATTGACTCCCACAGTGAAGGAATAACATCGTGTAATAAAAATCAAACCCGCAAAATTATTATTTGCGTAATTACTGGTGGAAGGACCTCTTGTGAGTCCGCGCGGGTAGGTACCACCACCCCGCCTATTTCTGCCATGAAGCACTAATGCGTTTCGGTTTGAAGGGCGGGGCAGCCG